GAAGGTTTTCCTCCTTCCTCCAGTGAAGGTTAGTTCCCTCCTCTGTGAGGGTTTCCCTTCCTCTGTGAAGGTTTTTTAGTGTTTTTTCCGGGTTCCTTCCTCTGGGAAGGGTTCTCTTTCTTGGTCTTTCCCACAGCCCTAGCTCTATTCCTCTTGGATTTTTTTCTGTTCAAGTGGCTGCTTTTCTCTTCTAAGGTTTTTGGGGGAGATTCAGCTTTGGCAGGTAAGGTTTTTCGGGTTATTGCCCCTTAGCCCCAAAAAAAAGGCAGATAGATACGACGGTGGATATAGGCGATTCAGCTGGGCAGAGGCTGCTGAGCAGCACTGTCGTTCGCCATGAGGATCATCAGCTGGAATTGCCGAGGGCTTGGGAACCCTTGGACAGTTCGGGAACTTTACAATTTGGTCAGGGATAAGGTTCCTGGTTTGGTTTTCCTGTGTGAAACCAAGCTGTTTAGAGGTAAAATGGAGAAAGTAAGTTTGAAGCTCCAGTTTGATAATTGTTTTGTTGTTGACAGTGTTGGGCGGATTGGAGGTTGGCGGTTCTGTGGATGGATGAAGCGAACGCGACCATTTTTAATTTCTCGAGGAGCCATATTTCATTGAATATTAAGAATTTTCATGATAGCTCACAGCGGGTACTTTCTGGTTTCTATGGGAATCCAGTCACAGAAAGAAGGAAGGGTAGTTGGCAACTCATGCGAATGTTGAACCCGGGAAACTCACTCCCTTGGATGATCATGGGAGACTTTAACAAAATTACCAGTCTTAGCGAGAAATTTGGAGCAGCCACGAGATCTTTTACTCAAATGGAAAATTTTAGTAAGGTGACTGAAGACTGTGACCTTAGTGATGCTGGATATGTTGGCCCAAAATAAACTTGGTGCAACAAGAGGGAGGGGAGTTCCTTCACTAAAGAGAGGCTGGACAGAGCACTCGTTAACCCTTTCTTCCCCATCCTTTTCAGAAACTACGAGGTGCAGGTGCTACCGATCGTTAACTCGGACCATAACCCTCTCTTTATTAATTGCTGCAGTGGATATTCTAATAGGGGCTTCTGTCCACCGAAGTTGTTTCGCTACGAGGTTGTCTGGTCAAGGAAGCAGGAGTGTAAAGACCTGATTGAAAGAGCATGGTCTATTCCCCGGGGAGCAGAACAGGCCATTTCGTCAGTTTAAAGAGGACTGGTGCGATGTAGTGCAAATCTGCAGAGATGGGCTAAGCGCAATGCAGGAGGTGATAGGGCGATGTTAAAATCTAAATTGCAGAAGCTCCAGTGACTGCAGAGTACAAATCAAGGGGAACTGAACAGCAATATAAAAGATACCCAAAAGCAGATTGACCTTTTGCTGAAGGATGAGGAAACCATATGGAAGGAACGATCCAAACAATTGTGGCTGAAAAGCGGGGATAAGAATACTTCCTACTTTCACAAATGTGCTTCCCAGCGCAGGAAACAGAATACTATCAGGAGGATCTTAAATGAAAGGGGAGGGGTATCAGCTGATCTGGACGAGATTTGTCCAATCTTTAATCAACATTATCTTCAATTATTCTCTTCATCATTTCCATTTGGTATTGAAGAGGCGGTCCAAGATCTTGAGGCCAAAGTCATTCCAATTATGAATGATCAGCTTTTGAAAACGTTCACTGATGAGGAAATTAAGCGAGCAGTTTTTGAAATGAATCCGTTGAGTTCCCCTGGTCCCGATGGATTGTCGGCTGGATTCTACCAAGATAACTGGGGATCGATTGGCGAGGGAGTTTGTGTGGCAGTTAGAGATTTATTATCTTCGCAACAAGGACTCAAGGACATTCATGAAACCTACATTTTCTTGATCCCCAAGAAGAAGAATCCTGCATCAGTCTCAGATTTTAGGCCTATCAGCCTATGTAATGTCCTGTATAAAGTGGTGTCCAATGTTCTGGCTAACAGGCTCAAAACCTTCTTGTCTGATGTCATCTCACCAGCTCAAAGTGCTTTTGTCCCTGGGTGTTTAATCTCAGATAACATAATTGTAGCATACGAAGCATTGCACTCAATGAAGTATCGAGTGAAAGGGAAGAAAGAAGGGTATATGGCATTGAAGCTGGATATGCTTAAAGCTTACGACCGTATCGAGTGGTGCTTCCTGAAAGCAGCATTACGGAAACTTGGTTTTGGCGAGAGGTGGATAGGGTTGGTCATGCAATGTGTTCAAACGGTGAAGTACTCCTTGATTATTAATGGTGAACCACAAAGTCAGTTTCAACCTTCGAGGGGATTAAGGCAAGGGGACCCCCTGTCCCCTTTCCTTTTCATCCTCTGTTCAGAAGTGCTGGGGAATTTACTGGATAAAGCGGAGGCTAAGGGGCTCATTTCTGGGTTCCCATTTGCAAGTGGCGCCCTTTTAGTGAACCATCTCTTCTTCGCAGACGATAGCCTGATCTTCTGCAAGGCTAACGCTCTGGAGTGGTGGCGGCTCTCCTATTTTCTGAAACTATATGAACAGTCATCGGGGCAACGACTCAATATGGACAAGACCTCCATTTATTTTAGCAAAAACACTAGGCAGGAGATCAAAACAACAGTTCTACATGTTGCCATTGTAAAAGAGGGGAAATCCTTTGAGAATATTTGGGTTTGCTGGTCTATGTTGGAAGGAATAAAGCCCCCGTTTGACATCCATTCTCTTTCTCATTTTTTTCTTTCTTCATTTCAACCACACATCTTATCAATAAAATAATATTACACATAAACCCAAAAAAATTTTTTACTTTTCATCCACACATTCTTCCTATCAATCACTATTCCAGAATTTATTCTACACAAAAATGGGTGTCAAACACCCCCTTATTGGCAAAATCTATGGTTATCCCTAAGGATTGCCCAAGTTAATTACATNAAAATGGGTGTCAAACACACCCAAAATGTCAGCATTCAAACAAGTTCTTGATTCAATCAGAAGCAGAATGAGCAGTTGGACAGTGAAATTCATTTCGCAAGCTGGGAAGAAGTTCTTCTCAAGGCTATCATCCAAGCTATTCCAATGTACTGCATGAGTATCTTCAAGCTTCCAAGAACCATTCTTCAAGCTATGAATCGGCTAGCAAAGAACTTCTGGTGGGGCAGTAAAGGAGAGAGAACAAAAACACAATGGCTACCTTGGGATATGTTGGGGAAATCCAAAGATGTTGGAGGACTTGGATTCAGAGATTTTGAGATTTTCAACGTGGCCTTATTGGCGAAGCAGGGCTGGAGACTCGCTCAAAATCCAGACTCCCTGGCTGCGAAGGTACTTAAATCCAAATATTATAGCAGGTCAGACTTTCTGAATAGCAAAATTGGAAGCAATGCCTCCTACCTTTGGAGGAGTTTCTCAGAAGCTAAAAAAGTATTGAGAGATGGAGCTTTGTGGCGCATAGGGAATGGAGAATCTATGGTCATAGGTCAGGATATATGGATCCCCCAAGCGTCCACCTCTCAAATTCATCCACCATTACATGACCTGTTTTTGAATGCTAGAGTATGTGAACTCATTAATGCAGACTCGAAAACCTGGAACTTGCAACTACTTTCTGAAGTTTTCCATGAGGCGGAAGCCAACATCATTAGGAAGATCCGAATCAGTTTAAACGGTTCTCCGGACAAACTCATTTGGAGGGGTACGAAGGACGGTATATTCACTGTCAAAAGCGCGTATCATGTCATAAATCTGATGCAACAGGATGAATTGGGCCAATGCTCTACTAGTGACTCCCAAAAGGAGGTTTGGAGGAAAATTTAGAACCTAAATGCCGCAAACGCCAGTAAAATGCTTCTGTGGAGAGCTTCACACGACTCTTTACCTACAATCTAAATCTATTCCGAAGGAAGATTAGGGAGTCCCCTTTTGCCCAATCTGTGAATGTGAAGAAGAATCTGCACTTCGTGCGCTGTGGTCGTGTCTTTCGGCACAGGATGTTTGGAGTTTAGGACCTCGGAGGCTTCAGAAAATGTCCTTTGTGCCGAGGCAATTCTTTGACTTTGTAAGCTTTTTGTTTAATGTGATGCCGGATGAGGAAATGGAGTTCTTCACATGCACAATCTATCTTGTCTGGAAGAGGCGGAATTCTTTTGTTTTCGAGAACAATTTTGAGGGACCTGCAACTATCTCTAAAGCAGCTACGCAGAATGCTCTTGCCTTTCGAGAAATGAATTCCCAGCCGGTATGTGTACTACCCTAGCCGTGTGGTCGAGGACACAAAGAGCTTGCTTAATTTTGTCATTCTTGGTTTGTCAATCATGTACCTTGATTGGTTTTTTTTGTCGCTCATTCGTTAGCAATGGTAGCACTTAAACTCTCTGTGGAGAGAATAGTGTTGGAGGAACCTCCTCTTTGTATCCGTTTATTGCTCTCTTGACTTAATGAAATGTCTGTTCTTC